GGACCAAGATTGATCTTATAGACACAAGGGCAACTGACCGTGCCCAGAGGTACGTGGAACAGCGCGCTCGCGGCGCGTACATCGCGTCAATCTGCCAACCAGACGCGTCATTTGATTTGTCCGTGGCTGCACAGGCTCAAAACCCGGATGAAGCAGAATGTGAAAAGCTCAACAACCGCCTCAAGTGGCAGATGGGTAACATCCAACGTGGACTGAGGTACGTGCCTATCGACCTCACCACCGCCAAGCTCATGGTATTTACCGATGGGTCGTTCGCCAACAACAAGGACCTGAGCTCCCAGATTGGCTTCATTCTTACGCTTGTCACCGAGACGGCCCGCACGGATAACCAGTTCGACATCCGTGGCAACCTCATCCACTGGAGCTCGACCAAGTGCAAGCGCGTCACTCGAAGCGTCCTAGCCTCCGAGATCTATGGCATGGTGAACGGCTTTGACGTCGGACTGTCCATCGCGACGACGGTTCGCATGATCACAGACCGACTGGGACTACCAGCTATCCCCCTGGTTGTCTGCACGGATTCGTTCTCCCTGTACGAATGCCTTGTGAAGCTGGGAACTACGAAGGAGAAGCGCCTGATGATTGATATCATGGCGTTGAGGCAGTCATATGAGAGACGAGAGATTGCAGAGATCAGGTGGATCAACGGCAAGGACAATCCCTCTGATGCGATGACAAAGGCATCCCCCAACCGCGCACTTGAGCGCTTCGTCAATGACAACGAGTTGACGATCAGGATGGAAGGATTCGTCCAGAGAACGATGGAGTGATTGTCGATGGACTTGACGTTGAAAGGTTTTGACGGCAGTATTTAAAAGACTGCCAGTGTTGGATCATAGGTGTCAATGCCCTCTGGTGTGAGTCCGTACTGGGTGGAGCTAGCCCATATGGGACTAGCTCCCACACACCACGATATGTGTTCTCCCCGCAGAGAACACCAAGTAGAAGTAGAACCACAAGAATGAATGCAATACGTTTCCTGTTATCTCTTTAAGCACTAGTGCACCAGACCCTCCCAACATGATGGCATATTTTGGGATTTGATTAGATTTTAGTTCACGTAGGCCTGATTCACAAGGCTGGATTCTCAACAGTGCTAGTATTAGGGTCTCGCTTGTCATGTACAAATAGAGTGAAGCGCGTTCTAGATATAGATTGTGTCATGTTCAGTTAATTAAACATAACCTTGATTCACCAGACTCTTCATCACATTAACATCGCACCTCGCTCCCCCCATAACACCAACCGTCCAGAGAATCCCCTTTTGGGACGCCCAAGGGCAGATTCCTCCTCAGCCTCGGCCAAAACGCGCCCGAGCCCTTGACACCTTAGCTATTGTAATGGCACGGCATTTTGCCATGTCATTACATATATCAGGTAACCAAGAAGGTATTCTTGGTAAGAAGTCAACATGCTTAAGGAGATAAGATAAGGTCACGTGGTCCTGGGAAGCGAGAGGACACACACAAAAGCCCACAGATTCTTTTGTCACTACATTTTCTTATTTTGATGTCTTAGTATTTGCTCAATAGATTGAATAAATAGTTATACAAGCTGTACTTTCTCTTGTGCTTATTCTACGCTGTGACAGCCATCTGTAAATTTTCCCTTCAATTCACTTGCAGCTTTGGCTCATCTCAGCATTTCCTCATCTCATCCAGGGGTCGTTTTCTTCACTGGAGGCCTCATGCAGTTGCTCACCAGGGCCTCCTCAGTTTGTATTCCCTTTTAGTTCCTTCATACAGCGTCCCTCTGTCTTTCAGCCGATCTCGTTATCCCAGAAACTTTGTAGAATATCCACCCCTCTGGCTTTGCCCCGTCGCTGCTGTACCCCTAACTGTGGAGGTTGAAAACGTGACTGAGAGCTCAAGACCGAGGCACCGGTGCCCCAGCCTTTATCGAACGCTCAAGTTAGTGTGCCGACGAAATGTTGTACGTATTTTGCAGGTGGCAATTCGTCGCAGGTCGAGTTGTTGGTGCCCTTGGCCAAGATGAGGACGCATTTTAGGCCGGTATTTCGACCGTACCTTCATAGCGACTAGAAGTTGCGTAGAGTCGGATATCCTCTTGCTTCTTTGTTGGCAATTTGACTTTTGGAGGTATGGGATTGCTTTGGTGGGTGGTGAGATGATTCTTGAGAGGGCCGCAAGATGAGTTTGGCTGGGAATGATTTTCCAGAGAAATAAAATATAAGATCTTGAAAGTGTCGGGTGCTGTAATACGAATATCAGACAGATTACAGCCTATCTGAGGTTCGTATCTGGGGTGTTGATTGATTTCGTTGAGTTGTGCAGTCGCGAAATCTCTTCAAGTCGGATTTTCGACCAAAAATGAGCCAACACCACTCCTCCCGATCGGAGGGTAAGACTGAACACCTGTACGCGGTGTCCTCTACAAACCTGGGAGTGAAATATTCTCTCAGAGCCAAGTTCAGTCAAATTTCGCAATATCAAAGAAGTTGGCCCACGAGGCAAAAATTCAAATTACTCCACCATGTCAATCTTTCACTCCCAAAGAGTCCGATTCTCAACTAAGCTTCATCAAGTCTACAAGTACTACCAAGTACATCCTCGTTTCAATGACTATACCTCTCGTTGACTTTCTCTGGCCTCAGCCGGTCACCAAATACACGCCCACGCCGATATTTATACCCGACGGAGGAAGCAAAGCGTGGAGCACAAATCTGGGAGATAGCTATTTGGGATGGACGTGAGAAGGATCAGGACAAGTTCACAAGATGATGCAGAAGAGGGATACATTCTTGATGGGCGTGAAATTTCGAATTTTGGCAAGGAGTTTTACGAATTGAGCTTTGTGCGCGACAAGACTTCGTTTGCAAGAGTACAGCTGACACTATAAAAATAAGCAGACGATGGAAGGTGCTTTGATCCGCCTCCTGGTGGTGTTCTCTGGTATAATCTGAGTAGCCTGGGCACCTACTCCACTTGGGAAGGAGACGCCTGAGACCATATTTCGCGCGGAGAAAATTCAGTGGATGATGGAGGCATGTCTGGATAACTCAGGGTTTTTAGACGTTTCCCTGGGTGGGTATTCACAGATAGGGTTGACTTGGGGTGAAGAAAAAGCCGCCATAACTTCGCAGTGGTACTTGCAAATGAAATCCGAGCCATGAGTGCTCTTCTTGTAAATTGAGTCATATTTTCTATACTTTTCTTTGATATTGTGTCATAGCTAGATAGCTGCATACGCAATTAAAATCTGATGCAAAAAAAAGAGTGAGGGATCATTTTTCTTCAATGTAAACCGATCTAACCTATGCAAACCCCTAGAGGCAATATGAGCCTTAGAAATTATGGTAGCCTCTTGGCACAGGCCGAATCCGCTAGTAGGTAGATAATGTTTGGTCACTAGATTCTTGGTTTTCTACCTATGCTATTTTCAGAGAGAGATCCTGTTACCGTTTCGCATTGTCCAGGACTTCGCGACCTGGAGACTATCGAGTTTCCAATCAGCACCAATTTTGACATACGTCTAGGGTAGTTGCAGCTAGAGCTAGCTTCGGGAAATATAGGTCTTGATAGGGTTTATGGCTTAGGTTTACTCAAACATTAGACTCCCCGGGCTATCATTAACGGTTACAGAACGTGTAATAGGCTAGATAATATTGGAGTCCTCAAGATAAGCTAGGAGCAATGGAACTCTTATAGACAAGAACTCCCATAATATTTTAGAGCAGATCAATTCATATCATCTCACTTCATTCATGCTGTTTCTAATTATTCACTCAATCTAGTAGATACTGTGTTATTGGGGGGACTATTCTCAACACCTGTCAGTGGTGTCCCCTACGAACCTCCAGCTCTCACTGTAGAGTCTGCAGAGCCGAGATTGAGTAACAAAGTCCTCACTTCGAAGATGATTCCCAATCGCTTTCGCGGTCTGTATCGTCTTCATCTCTCAACACATTCCCCTATCACCACTATCATGAAGCTAACCACGATCAGATCAGATGGTAGGGTCGGAGCCCTACTCGTCACCCACCCTTGATCATGGAGGAAAAGCCATCCGATGAGTTTCCGGAGCGTACCCAGCACCCGATACGGAGATGGTGGATTGGATCAAGTCGACCTCGACTGTTACAAAGAAGGGAGATATAGATGAATATGCGCACCTCATGTGGTCCCGGTGTCTAGGCCTCGCCTGGCTGGGGCTGCAGGTTTTTTGAGACTTTTTCCCGCGCACGCAGTTTCCATTGCTACCATTTTTATTTTTTTTGGGTAGAAGGTTCCGTGGAAAAGGTGGCTGAATTCCACGGGTAAATACTGAGCTGAATGGCTATTCATCAAGGGGAATATATCAATGATCTTTCAAGTAACAAAAGAGGATAGGAGCACTGTACAAGGTGTGGCCTGGGTCAGAGAGGAGCCCAATGTGCTAGATAGTCATAGACTCAAGTAGTACAATAAAACACACACACACTGTGTTATTGCCAACACCTGAGTGGGTTTAGCTCCCGTTCGTGAAGGCCTGAACTTTATATTAATAATTAGATGAGTGCAGACACAGCTTAGTACAGGTAAGCTTTCAGAGGGTTTCAGGAAAGCAACTAAGTTACCCTGGAAAATTAAAGTGTATAATAACTAGGAAATCTTGAAGGAACTTATATTTAAAAGGAATAATACCTCCTTTTGGAAAGAGAGATAAGAAGAGCAGTCAACTTAGAAGGCTTTCGGCTTCGTAAAAAATCGGTTTCGATAACGAATGAAATTATTAAATTTATCTTTGTAATTGCAACCAATAATCTGTCGTATATTATACAACGAATATAAATAGCTATGCAAGTGTATTGCTGCAATCCTGGTAGAAACTTCGGCCCGCACCTACATTAATCAGTCATCACCGAGCATCGCGAGGAAGCAGATTTAAATCTGCGAAATAGAGTTCTAGTGTTGTGCATTAAATTTTAAGGGATAGGTAGACAAAAATGGTAGATATGAAAGCTTAATTTTGTAATTTTTTCAAGTAGGTACAGTAATAGTTGGTACAGTCCACCAATTATGATAGCCCTTATCCATTGTGGATATCTCGACTTTGATCTTGGTTCGACCACCGTTTTCAGTTGCTTTCACTGCTCGTCTTACCTTCGTAACGTTTATTACAGTCTGGATACATGCTTTCAGACAATTCTTAATGTCGTTTGACCAGCTTTTGTGTGTACCACAAGAGAATGATTCTTCTGGTGTTAATTTGCTCAAAATCTCAAAGTATTTTTTCGCATTTGTAGTTGAATCCACTGACATTTGTAAAAGTTCTGAGGTATCTTCATCAGGCTGTCGAATTAATTTTTTGAATTCCTCATATGGAATGAGTTTGGGATGTTTCATAGAGAGGAATGGTTTCATTCGAACTTCGTATCGCCGGTGGTCATCGCTGTAATATGAGAATGAGGGCTGAAGAGCTAATAGACGATCTAGTACGGCGAATAGACATGAAAGACCGTGCGCAAAATGATATGTAGCAGACGATTCTACACTTGCAAAATCTATGAAAGACAATGTCTTTAAAAAGGTGTAATTTTTATCCTTACATGATTTGTTATTCTGCAGTGCTTCGTGGTAACGTTTATTCACAAGCCTTTGAACGCGCTTTAAATTTTCGTGACGAGTTTTAGATAAATATTGTAAGTAACCATACATGCCAGCGAGCTCATCGGGTTGATAAGTTTCTAATTCAAAACCAAGCTGAATAATCCATTCCATTTGTAGTATTTTGTAGTAATATACCCATGACGAGAAAGGGTAAGACCATATTGGATCTGATGAGTTTTTAGTCTCTATAACCGATTCTTCATCGAGGTCGCAAATTTTTTGGTCGAGTTGTTCGGCATGGTACTGGAGATTATCCCACTCGATAATAGAATGGCAGAGTGAGCGGCGTATTCGACACCTGTTTTGACACAGAGTTCTCAGTAAATCTAAGTATGAGCCCGCTGCGTGACTTCGGAAGGATTCTATTTGAGTGGCTACTTTGTGACGAGGGTCTGAAGGGACTTCTACTTCATCATATTCGGGCAAAAAGAGCATATGTGAAGGAAGTATGGTCGTCGATAGATCATTTTCGACCACTTGTTGTATTGGTACGGATCCTAAAACCGACATATCTGCCAAGAGGTAGTATTGTAGGATTGCACGGGCATATGTAGAAGGTTGGGGTGTGAGGGCTTGGATTAGCAAGATAAAAGTCTAAACAGCACGTCAGTAAGATGATATGGATGCTTAGATCACAAACCAGAAGACTATGGCTATCAAAGTACTCCAGTTGTTCAACCACACTTGATGCATCGAGACAGAGCCTATCTAGGTGGTTGAAGGCATCCTCTGGGCTCAACTGAACAATTGGACGAGGTGGAATAGTGCTTGCAAGTTTTCTCTGAAGCTTCTCGCTGAAAGCTGATGGTACTGGGGTCCCATGCCGCATAGAATTCTTCATCTCATCCCCAAGAGGCCTTAAATCTGTCCATGAGGTCATGCCCTGTGCTGAAATTCTCGATTCAGTAGTTTTTACAGCTACTAGGAACTGAATCCGGAATTCAAGACGAATCTTCAAGGCGGTCTTGAATATCGGATAAATATCATGAGAGTTCACCAGTATTTTTGTCTCTTTCAAAAATTCTAGGATTGATTCCGAATCAAAATCTTCTAAAAGATTCCTGTGAAAGGTATTAGTGACAAAGTCTTCTTCCTACTGAATTGTAAGTTGTGAAAAAGCCTCGAAGTAATAACGGCGACAAGATACCTCATAGAAATGCTCAGAGTTAATCCGAGTATTTACAAAGTGACAAGTTTTTACAAGACCTAAGCAGTATGCCCGTAAGACTCTATGGCACAGAGGTTCCGTGGCTGAGTCAAGATCATTTCGTTCAAAGTTAGTCGTGCTGATGCTCTCAGGATAAGGCCATAGTAGCCTATCAATATGAACACTGGTGAAGATTGTTTGAGCGAGAGGGTGACCCTTATGCCATGCCATCTTCTCTATCAGCTTATTGTTTTTTATTCTAGATCTTCGTCGTACCTCATGAAAGAACAATTGATCCATGATTCCAATTACTTCATCGGGAAGTAGATTCCTGCTGAAATCGTAATCATCATCCATGGTCTCGCCGGGCTCTAAGTATCCGCTATCCATCTTCTTGTCCATGATCTTAATTTGTTAAGATTTTAATTTGGGTCAATAACTTTCGAATCGCTCACCTCAATTGCACCCACTGATTCGAAAAGTGTGAAATTAGGGTCTTGAATAATTTGCCCGACATCAAGTTCTAGTTCTTGTTGATGAGGGGTCCCAACCACAGGTTACTCTACTTACGATGAACTGCACTGGTAAATTTTTCGGTTATGTCAATTGATGTTATACCGTCGATTTTTAATTGGGATGAGTAAACGAGCTCTTCATTTTGACCTGAAGGATATCGAGAATCGTAAACCGCTAATTCCTCTATTTCTGATGAAGGTTAGATAAGGATTAGAAGTGATGCATATCTATTCCCGTACCGTTAGAAAGACTAATGAGTGATCCGTCCCGCATCATTTGGTGACAATCAATAATATCGTGAGAGTCGTGTTAGGCTTTTAATTCGTAAATAGAGTAGATGATCCACTCTGAATAGAAGGCGATTAAGTATGAATTCGCTTGCTACAAAAACTATTCTTGTTGAATACTCCAGTGAGAGTAAGCGATTGAATATTATTGGCAAAGCCATAGAAGCGTTCACAAAAAAGAAATAGGTATGACCGTTACTTAATTTACATTAATATAGATGAAAAAGTGTCGTAGAGAAAATCAAGGTTCTATGGCCTGTCCAACATAGAAAGTTGGATACGGTGTTGAATGAAAATACAAGTGACAATAAGGAAATCTTAAGGGTCAACTGAGTTATTGCATACTCAAATATTATTAAGAAAATTTCTACTGTTATGAATCTGTTCACATGGTTTGTGTATAAGATTTCCTCACTGCATGGCTGAGTGTAGACAATTGGGCTTCCCGACGTGGTTGCGGACCCTATTTAAACTGTAGCCTCATCCCGCTTTCCCCGCCCAACATGCTGGATAGAATTTGGCCAGGCAATGCTACATCGATGAAGGTTTACCGGTAGTAGTCGTATCTGAAACGTTTCTAAACTCGCCTTGCTTGCCATTCTAGTGCAATTAATCGATCAGCCCGTGTGTTCCATTTCACGACAGACCCAGCACCGGGTAAGATGACACTTACATTCCATTTTGCGAATTTTAATTGTAAAGCTCCTCTACGCTCTGCAGACATCTTGACGTCATCTTTCAGGCAGTTTCGGAGAGCTTGCGCCACCACGGAGAGGTATTTGTTGTAGCTATTTGGGAGCTTGTTAGCAATTTTGATTGTGATAATATGCATAATCTATCATTTGAATCTCCGGGAAACATGTTGCATACCTGAGACCCGATGCCTTCCATGCAAATGCCATATTTTAGATTGTTGATAGTTAGAAATTTCAGGATTGGTTAAGTGTGATATTAATATTGAAATCTAGAAGTTCATAAGATATTGACGGTTGTTTATCCAGCGAGACGTAATTTAGGAGCCTTAGGAAATCACAAGGCAGCTCATTTATTGCGAACTTCTTCGAGTCACGATGGAAGATAAATGCTGTACAGCCGTCTGCAATGTCCTCTACGAACCTGGCTGTGAAATATTCTTTCAGGACCGACATTCAGTTCGGACAAAAGGTATATTTAATAGATTTTGTCAAACATGCGACCTGAAAAGACTTCACGACCGCGCAACAAAACGAATACAATCACCCGTCCCCTCGGAAGCGAACCACAGATAGGATAGAACTTATCTGATATGTATGATAAAACAACTGATAATTATTAATTTATCAACTATTCCCAGAGGATATTTCCTTACCTAAGACGATGCAACCCACTACCTATTCGTCTCACCACCTACCGAAACACTCCATAATTCAGATGTCATAATTGCTACCTAAGATACAAGTGGAAATCCGTCTCTTTACAACTGTCATGCGTGACAATACAGTCAAAAAACCGGCCTTACATTCGTCTATACCTTGGCCAAGGGCACCGACAACTCGAACTACTATGAATTGCCACCGAAGAAACACTTACGAAATTTGGCCATCACATAACCAGAATATTAGATGAAGGCAAAGGTATTAATGCCTCAGTTTTGAGCTCCCCAACCCACATTCAGCCTCCACGATTAGGGGTATGGCAGCGATGGAGCAAGGCTGAAGGGACAGGATGTTTTCAGATTCTGAAATTGCACTAATAATTGCTGGGTTAAAAAGAAGCAAAACTGGAGGAAAGAAAGAGAAGAAAAACTGAGGAGGCTTCGGTAGGCGACCGGACAGGGTCTCAAACGATGAAAATAAACACTGGACGAGATAAGGAGATTCTGGGACGAGCCATGACTGGAACTACATAGAAAGGCAAAACAAGAGATTTTTAGGGTATCAAGAGCTCGGACGAGTGGTGGCCGGAGTGGAGCAGGAAATTGCGATACAGCGTACACATAGTGGGTTTCTAGACGGCAGGGCTTGTCATGTATCTCTATACTGAGGTTGAACCTGAAGTGATTTTGTCATGGATGTGGGACGAGGTTTGTTGTTTTATGGTAGATAACCTGATCCAGCCCGGCCTTACTCGTGTTCATGCTCCCTTGAGAGTGCGGAGGGTGCCAATTGCCTAGCGTGTTTGTCAGCAGATCTAACCAAAGCAGACCTCAGAATCACGATGGTAATCTACTGGCATGTACAATGTAGAAGACCGGGTCACTGATTGTTGAAGACTAAATCTCATCCAGTTGTCATGAATGACACAATATGATGAGAATATTGCTTAATTGAGCAGACTATGGACGCCATTCTCTATCCGATTACGAGTTTGATTTACACAAATCTAAATACCGCATACTGTACAACTATACTCGGTCGCTCAGTGTATACTTCCTAGACCTTAAACCCAATTTCCTCTGCGAATGGAAGGATGTGAAGGTCTCCAACTGCAGATACCGTGGCTTTATTAGCTAGTAAACTTTTGGCAATCTAACGTTAGGTTAGTCATGCTTTCCTTATAGAAGCTTCTCGTAGCTAGATTCTTACCATCTTCAGGCTGTCAGCGCTGACCTTCATCAGACTTTTTCCTAATTCGTCAATATCGTGGTATTTCCCAGAATGAATTAAGCTTCCTCCCATTGAAGCCAAGCAAACTTCACTACTTTGACGTTCGTCAAAGATATTGAATTTTGCCTGAGCTATAGCCTTATTCAAATCATCTTTAGAAATTGATCCTTCAGAAACGCTCTTCAGTGCTTTGTAGACCTCAAATGAAGCTTTTCGAACAGACTGAGCTGCACCTACAATATTGATTGCCAATAAACCGGTGTCAGAATATGTGAAATGAGATGTAGATGCGGTAGCGCCGTGAAAAGATGATGATGCCTTTGCAAGTAGAGAAAATCCAGTTGACCATTTGATACTAGATTTGCCTCCCAAAAGAGCCCCGAGGACATGAATCTCCGGCTTGAATGATGAGTTTGATACAAAGGAACTTGAGCCAGGGAATGCAATAACAATAGAGTTCCCATGAGCGTTGTCAATGCGTTCTTCGCCCCCGTAATATTTGGATGTCTCACTTGACAAAGGACTCGTTCCACCAGGTATATTCTTAAAGTATTCAGCAACCCATTTAGCTAACGTATTTTGATCGGTGCCGGTGGCTACTATAGCGATGTTGGGCTTTGCATAGGCTAACCTCGCAAACTGTCTGATTGCTTCTGCGTCTAAATACTTTGAGAGTGGACTTGCCGAATTGGGGAGATGAGGTTCTCCAAGACCGCGATGAAATGCGACACCATGAACGGAATTGAAAGCAATCTCGCTGGAGTTTTGAGAAATTTTCTTTTGAGCTAAAGCGACTAGAGGTGCTATCTGCTCATCAAATTCGTATGCTTGAATAATTAGATCCAAAGTTGTAGAATTGGGACGATTTCTCACTCGTATATTTCGTCTCAGATATGACTTCCGCGAGTAGTTCAGTGAAGTATGGCAAGTCCTCTCGCATAAATTTGGCTTCAATAGCTATGTGTTCCCTTGTGTGATATGATAACAATTGACTTCCCATAAGTTCAGCTTCGCGGGTAATTCTTAATGCTGAACGTTTATTGGTATTCTGGAAACATTTGTTAGATTTGGTCTGTGGCGTACATCTAAATCGGTACTACTGTAGAAGAGTTTAGGTGAACACAGACCTTAAAGGCGAATAATCCAAGCCCTGAGCTAAGACCTGGGGCGGGTTGATATCGAGTTCCCGCTTTTGCGATAACGGCAAGTCTGGTGGTCGGTCCAGAGATATCTCTACTAGCGATCTTCACTCCAGCAACTTCAGAAGACACAAAGGGCGCTGATCCTACGGCCACAGCGAATGTGCGATAGTTGGTCGGCTTTACCCGGCATGAATCTCTTAGAATGCGCTTCGCGCACGTTCCAGTACTCGACCAAGTCATCATTGTCAATGAAATTTTGGTGGTTAAAGGATTGCGATTGGTTCCACGACAAGATTATCGACGAATATCAGTACGCAACCAGCTGAGTAAGCTAACTACATCAAGCGCCAGCCCCCCCGCCAGAAATTTCCCCACCAGATCAGCCATTGCGATGTAGAGCAAATGCAGGAATATCAAAAATTCGTTGCCGAGTCCGAACCTGCAGCCGCCAAATAGGCTATTTACTGCAACGTACGGGAGTTACAGACTTCCTATCAAAGTGGTTTCGGTCGCCAGGTCAAAAATTCAAAATTTTTTGAAATGTCATCGGTGAGCAAGTAATACAAAAGTTGCAAAATAAGCTGACCTTTAAATAGGCAAAAAATGCACTTGAGCTTTACGCCATACTTGTCGACGAAACTTATGGAGAACTAACTTCTGTAGGTAACCACAGCTGTATTTACTAGCTCTCATCTTCGTTGAATGAGAATAGTCGTTTTGGGTCTGTGTTTGAATTCAAAAAGCAAGGCTGACAGTATTTAGAGAATATTCACTGTATTACTCCGTCGGGGTAGGCAACAAATACCGTTAATTGCCAAGCACACAAGGCTCAGTCCACGACAGTTGCGTCACGGATTAGTCGTCCTCATACAGCAGAACCTCATATTCTACAGTACCGATGCCGATACGGGAGTAACACACTATGAAGCAAATCATTCTGCTGCTTATGCTCTCTTACGGTCTGGAAAGATCATGGAGACAGTGGAAGATAGATTTGGAGCCGTAGCCAAAGATGTAGTGCAAAATTTGCTTTTATTAGGTCACACAAAAATAGCAGACCTTGAAGGAGCATACGAAGCACAGCAGAAGAATTTGAAGGAAAATGTTGATTCGCAAGACGACTCACAAATTATCGGGATGACTGAAAGAACAAATAAAGCTCAACTCAGGAATTTAGACAAAATTTGTTCAGTCGGTCAACTTCATTCCATCATGTTAAGGTTATTACAGGCTGGCGTTGTGGAGGAGGTAGCTGAACACATGTTTTGTAGTCCCACAGACACATATAATAAAATTGAAAGAGAAGTCCTTCAACTTTATTACGGCGGTGATACCAAGGGATCGAAACAAAAAGAAGAATTGAAAATTAGAGTCAAAACACGACTACAGTCTCTAAGGTCAGATGCCAAAAGTTGGCGATCTAAGGGGAAAAAAAGACAATATGAAAATAGCAACTTGGTTGGCTTAAATAATATCGCCAAACCAACGCCGCTCTCTAATGACATCGAAATCAATAGCGATCATCACTATGAAGATCTAGGCTTACAGCTTAACGTGGGTGCCCCAATGAAAAGATAAAGAGCTGCTGACACCAAAAAGCCTCAAATGATTGTTCGCATCAACTACGACAAATGCATAGTTTTCCTGCGTAGCCATAAACTCACCGTCAGCGCAAAAGAACGTATTGGTGAAACCACATCAATTATATACCGTGAAGCTTTGAAGCTCATAGAAGATCGGATTGCGCGCTGTCAACTAGACCCAAACATCGATTTACCAGTGGATCAAGCCGATATACTAAGATTTACAACTATAGAGCTAACTGCCACTTTAAAAAGCTCAATTGACACGAAATCTGGTATCGCTAAACTTGATGCTGATGGATTTGCAGGGTTGATCTCAGATGAAGATTCAGATTCAGAAGATGAGCAAACTATCAACATCAATGGCAAAAGAATATACAACCACATCCCAAAAGATCAGGCTGAACAACGGCCAGCAATTAAGGGGCAATTGAGAAGCCCCATTTTTGGCAAAAGAACCACAATCAATGCATCAGATTCACGTGAAAATAGAGCTCAACAAATTAAAAACCATCTCTCTTTGTTAGCAGCTGACGAGTTCAAATTCCTGCGAAAGTGTGGAAATGGGGGAATGGGTGAATGGACAATTGACTTTGAAGAGGTTGTTGATCGCTTGCGAGAAGCGGAAATTGATTCAGCAACACTAGAAAATTTTGGTAATTCTGGGCAAAGGCTTGCAAGACTATTGAGAAAGTACGGCAAACTCGATGAGAAGCAGCTTCCAAATATAGCTTTGTTGAAACAAAAAGATGTCCGGACGAAGTTAGCTGAAATGCAAATGGCAGGTGTTGTTGACATACAGGAAGTTCCGAGAGATGCTAATCGGACAATTCACCGTACAATTTTTTTGTGGTACTTTGACAAGCAAAGAGTCTCTGAAATGCTTCTGGATAATGTGTTCAGAATGATGACTCGGGTTTTCCAACGTCTCGAAAATGAAAGAAAAAAAGCTAGAGAGGTATTGGACTTAACACAACGATCAGATGTTCGTAACCAGAAGCCTGCTGAGTACTTGGACAAAGATCAGCTTTACCAGCTGAACGATTACCAAACAAAGGAAGAAAAACTTTTGATTCAACTTTCACGGCTTGATGAATTGGTTGGGATATTTCATGATTACTAATTGATAATAACTGTAAATTATACACACGAAATGGCGTTAGCTACCATGAAAGTTCACTTTGGGATGAAGTGGACCATTGGAGGATACCGATTTTTATTTGTATGTTTTTGTATATTAACTTTTATCTATTAATCTAATAATCTACACCTAACCGAAACTACTCACAACTCTGATTATGACCCCATGAATAATTATAGCAGTAGCCTGCAAAATAGCACAATCAGGCTAGACATCGTTGATCAGGACCTAATCCGAACACAACCCTTCAGACTTATTGACATGAAAACTACGACGCAATTTAGCGTCATATAGATTAGTACTTGGATTGAGTGTTCAGATATTTTTCAGCTGTATTCAAGAGTTTATATATTTATCAAAAGGCGTTCGTATGAAATAGAATTATCCGATTTCGGTGCAAAATTTTTTTTCAGAGGTGACAAGGTCGATTCAGGACAGAGACTTGATGACGAATTTTTTCGTATACTTAGGCCATTTTAGATATGCACCAAGGAAAAAATATCTGGTTGGCCGTATTAAATTGATTAGCTGCCATAGTATTGACGTCCCAAATTCTTTCTTTATTTCTCCACCCTTTTATTTTTTTTTTTAAAAAAATTAAAAATAACATATTAGAAATTGTTGGAATAACTACAGGATAGTTTCACGATCGATCATGATGCTTCAATAAAGAGATGTATAATTCTATGTTGGTCTAAATGTTCATAATGTCTTGTCTTCTACACTATACAGGATTCACAGCGATACTGATTTGAATTTGAATTTGAATTTGAAATCTTTAACGTGACAGGACGAACCCAACATCTATTTAGACGTGACACGGGTAGATGGGCCCTACGAGCTCATTGCTACCTACATGACCGGCATTAAAGCCAGAAGCGACAAAAGAAAAATAAAATCACAGCAAATGTCTGAGTTACGGTGCCCTGCACCGTATCCCTATCTTCCAAACACCTCTCCTCTCGAGCCAGAAACTATCTCAGCATGGTCACTCCCACCCTGTCAGTTCTTCGGCAGACTGTAGCATCTGCTTATGGTTAGGAATTGGAAAAACTTCTGCCATCCCTTCTCCCCTATCATTTCCCTGACCCCAGGTGGAGTCATTTTCTCACAGCTTCTCCAACGTTGCAGAGCAGGTCGGCACTCTGAAAAATGCCAGGGCCTTTTCTCTCGGCCACAAATGCACATCAGATCTTCATGTTCGGGGTTGAAACGCCGGTGGTAGTCGGCGTAGTCCCCGTGGCCTGTTCTTGCCGCAATAAGACGGTGATACGCCCATCGAGGCAGAGCCAGTTCCGGCGGTCGCTTGCAGCGCATGTAGAGGTCGAGATCTTTGTATCGTTTAGGCCGATACTTCTGACACCACTCTTCCACAAGCTTTTGGCTCCGCATTTTCACTAGTCTCCCTAGAGCCGCAAAGGTCAGAATTTGCTCGTCTCCGTTGGGCGAAGCTGAGGTTAGTGATTGGTCATTGAGATCTCCCAGGGCTGATTTGGCCAGCTTATCGGCTTCTTCGTTGCCTTGGATCCCCACATGACCAGGTATCCAGTGTATTTCTACACGCCTATTATGTCTCAGCGATGAGAACTTGTCCACCACTGTCTGCGAGGAATTGGATCTTCCTTGTTCGAGCGCTCTGACGGCCGCTTGATTGTCCAGAAGAATGCTGACCGGAAAGCCTTCTCCCACCGCTAGTGCAGCCTCCAAGGCTTTCATAGCGCCTACAACTTCTGCGTCGAATACCTCTGCTCCGGGAAGCGGACCCGAGCCACTTCCAGCTAGTTTGCCTCCTTGGTATACCACATAACCCCAAGCTGATTGCCCGGGACCCGACGAGGATCCATCAGAGAAGGCACAGACTGCGTTGGCTGGAAGGGAAGTTAGCCATCGTTTGATGCTTCCTGACCTAGCTTCTTTTTCCCGACTGCCTGGTGTCGATGCCGGGAGACCATGGGGAAAGTAGAGCTTTCCAGGGCCTTCCGCTGTCGGAACTTGACGCACGCTTATTTGTAGGCGTGTCATGTACCTTTCTGGCTGTCTGAACAAGCGATCTCGTTGTCCCGATCTAAGACCTAGGCGTTTTATAGTATCTTTCGGGTCCTCCGCCGCCCGAAGGGCTAGAGGGTGCCAGGCATCCATTCTTCGCATTCGAGCTGCAGACCGCAACATCTTTTGTTGGAGAATTATTGATGCCGGGGGGATTCCCGCTTCACGATGAAGAGCGCTATTGGGAGTGGTACGCCACGCTGGGAGTGCTACTCGTATAGCTTTTGTGATAGTTTTGTCCAGCAGAGATGTGTGCCACCCTACTCCAGTGCCGACTTCTTTATCTCGGATGGTGGTTATTCGAGAAAGACCCGGCCACCACGCTTCTGCCCCATAGAGAGCTGTGCTCAGAACGCATGCCTGTACCGCACGAATTAGAGGTCCGGGTGCTGCCCCGCGCTGAACTCCGTTTATATGTCGTAAAAAGTGGACTAGACGATTAGCTTTTCCAGTCCATTCCTGTACATGCTGCTTGAAGTTCAGCTGAGTGTCAAGCCAGACTCCTAACCACCGGATATGAGGCGACGGTTCGATCCGGCGATCTTTCACCAAGATGGAGAGGTTGGCTGTATTGATTTTCTTCCTAGGACCTCCTCCGGTCACTAGAAGTTCCGACTTTGCCGGGTCAAATTCGATCCTGTGTTCTCTGGCGAGAAGGACGAGGCTGTCGAGGTCTTCTTGGACTGCTGCGATAGCTTCGGCCGCGGTGCTTCCAACTCTAATGATGGCTAGATCATCAGCATAGCCAAACCTGCTCGTTAGTCCATGGTCCTTAAAAAGCACAGCGATATAGAGCATGAAAAGAAGTGGTGACAGTGGCGAGCCCTGAGGTACTCCACATTCCAGCATCTTCTCGTCTGTGGTTCCACCACGGTATTTCACCTGGACTTTTCGTTGGCAGAGAAAGGTCTGAATGAACCGGCACAGAGATAGTGGCCAGCCTTGTTCTCGAAGGCGTTGGAGTAGTCGGTTGTGAAGGACTGCATCAAACGCACCTTGGATGTCTAGTGTGACCATAGCCGCACATTTTCCGCTTCTCATGGCCGCCTCAGCATCATGGATTACACAGGATGCAAGGTCGACCGCAGATCGTCCTGGTACTGAGCCGAATAATTGCGGATGAACAACTTGGTGACTTATCGTCAGCCATGCCATTCTCTTGCCAACTAGACGCTCAAGTCCTTTACCTAAGCTCGACAGCAGCGAGATTGGTCGCCAGCCCTTGGCAGTTGATAGATTTCGTCCCGGTTTGGGAAGAAGCACAACATCTGCCACCCTAAATGCCGTCGGAAAGTGGCCGATTTTTAGACAGGCCTGGTAGAGATCCTTGACCAGAGGCCCGAGGTGGTACCAACAGGATTTCAGTAAACGTACTGTTATTTTGTCCGCTCCCGGTGCCGTATCATTGACAGAGATGGTAGCGTTTGTCACATCTTCCAGTGATATTTCCGTATCCCATGGAATGCGCACCTCCTGTCCATTCTCCCAGGTTGGGATGTCGTTCTCGCTGCTAAATCTTGCCAAGAGAATGTCTCGTAGCGCACTAGCCCGCTCTCGCGGGTCTGAAAGCCACCGATTTTCCTCAATCTGCAAAGGAGGGGGCTCAGCTGCTGGTCGAGGCTTAGCCCATCTCATGAGCTTGAATACCTGTGCGTCAGTTGTAACTGCCTCCACTTGCCTCTTCCAGTACTCTCGCTTGGCTTTTCGCACAACGGCTCTAAAGCTTTTACGCGCCTGTCTTACAAGGTCCGGATTTTCTCTCGCTGCCTTGTAATCCTGCCACTTGATGCGACATTCATCGTTCCACCAGGGCCCGGTTTTTCCGCTTTCAATGGCTGGGACTTTCCCCGCAATCTTCAGCGCGTCTGCAAGAGCCTGCAGGAGATTAGCTGTGAATTTTTCGATGTCCATGACACTGTCCAGAGGGGCAGCTTTGGTCCATTGGCTGACACATCGGTTGAATTCCTTTAGGTTCTCATCGCTGACACGAGTGTTCCTTACAATTCCAGATAGGTCTGATACTGTAGGGTTTAAGACTGTACCCTCGATGGTCGAGTGATCTGAGGTACAGTGATACTGCTTGGAGACTGATGCTGTTGCAGCTGTGTTGCTCCACGTTAAGTCCAGCACGTTCCCATCCCTATGCGTTGGCTCTCCGACAATGCTAACTAGATCCATATCGTGAGCTGTTGCCCATTCCATGATCTGGCCTCCATTGCCGTACTGAATTGTCGTTTGCGGCTGCCAATGCTGTGACACAGAATTGAAATCGCCACCAACAACCACGAGTCCTCTGACTACCCACCGAAGTAAGGGCTCCAAGGTTCCACTGGTGCCCGGGGCACGATACACGTTGACGAAAGTCAGGCTGCCCATCTTTACAAAACAGTAGTCAGATGTCGGGCCTGATGACGGCGGAAAAAATTGAGTCGCACCAATGCCTTTGCGTGTGAAAGTACTCACGCGGGGCCGGACGTCTGTTCCTCCAAACGGTATGTGGCTATTGTATCCAGGGTGACTTTTGGTGATAAAACCCCCCTCTTTCTTCCTTGTCCATGGTTCCTGTACCATGACTACATGTGCACCGGCATCCCATGCCTGCTGCAATGCTATATCTGTATTCTCCCCACCCCTTCCTACATTCACTTGGTGAAAGTGGAGAGTGTTATGTTTATCTTTTGGTGCTTTTGTTGAGGGGTTCCCTAACATTAACACGTCATTGTTGAATCCGGGGTAATGACAGTTTCAACTGCCTTGCCCTTCCTTTCCGAATACGCTAGAGCAGCGTGATAATCACGATGCCCGCGTTCTCTGATGATGTGTAGTTCTGCAGGGGTACGGGGCAGAATTATCCCGTTTTGTCTTCTTGGTCGGGCCATGCAGCTACTCTCATGTGAGTGGTGAGGTCCGGCACAATTTGAGCACTTTGGCACCTT